CAATTTCAATCGGTTGCTATAGCGCCCCCCTTTGGCCAATTGATGTAATACTGCTTTATTCGCATCCTCCCATGACCCTCTACCACTGTGCCAAATTTCACATGGATTGACCAAGTCAGTGAGGAGAAAAACGTGGAACAGACACACCCACACCCACAGACACACACACACCCACAGAGTTTTCATCATTATATAGTAAGAAGAAAGTAAGATATAGTAAGATAGTAAGATTATTTCAAAATATTTCCAGCCCCTCTCTCAGTCACGTTAAGAGTGCTTGGGAGGAGGAGTTACAATTGACCATCTCAGATGAAACTTGGCAGACAGCCATTGAAAGAATGCACAAGTCCTCATTTTGTGTGCGACATGGGCAACTCCAATTCAAAGGTCTCCACCATCTGCATCTGTGTAGAAGTAGACTGGCCAAAATTTACCCTGATACAGATCCTACTTGTCAGAGATGCTTTGGCGCACCAGCCACTTTGTCCCATATGTTTTTCTCATGTAAATCAGTTGTCCCCTTCTGGTCCTCTGTATTTGACACAACATCTCAAATGTGTGCACAAGTACTAATCCCAACCCTATATCAGCCATCTTTGGTGTGGTCCCAGAAGAGGTACCCCTCCCAAACTGTCAGGCACAAGCCATGGCCTTTGCCTCACTTCCAGCCCGCAGAATCATCCTCCTGAAGTGGAAAGATAAACTTCCCCCTTTTTATGGTCACTGGGTAAAGGATGTCATGGCACACCTTAAGCTAGAGGAACTCAGGTGCCGCCTCAAAGGATCATCCAAGAAGTACCACAGGGTATGGCAGCCCTTCTTAGACTATTTTCATAACTCCTGTCCCTCAGCTTGTCTCATGAATTAAGCCTTTACAGCCCCCCGATTTTTTTGTGTGTGCATGTGAGGAGAAGAAACCCGTCCTCCTCTACAGAGGGTGGTTATTCTTTTGGGTCTGAGGAACAACTTTCAAGTTTAAAGACGACTGAGCAGGGATCAGATCCTCAGCCACCAGGGCTCAGTAAGGGGTGTCGCCCCATTTGGCAAGTCTGTTATGAAAGGAGTCCAGAGATAAGGCCTTTGTCAAATATGCAATCAAATAGTAAAATAGTGAGTAAATATTCTAATGCAGTGCTTCTCAACCTTTTTGCTTGTGGAACCCCTATTCTATGATGAGTGAACTATTGACCCCTGACTACCTGACATATTTAATGTATATTTCACATTATATTCAATGTATTACAATAACAAGGCAGACCAACTGATAAACTACAATTGTCCCAAACAGTGAAAACAATAACTGCAGGACGTTCGTGGATGAATTTTCAGCAGACTTTCCTGCAGGCCTAAATATTGCACCAGATATTTTAAATAACAGTAGCAATAATTTTATTTGTGGAGCATTTTTTGAGCTGGAAGCACAGAGTGCTCTTATTTTAGGAACCTTTTAAGCTTCTCTCTCAATGTATTTTTTTTTCAATGTATTTTTTTCAAACAATCATAGGCTTTTAGTCCCATCTAAAGAAAGTCTTCACTTAATGCCTGCTGTCGGTTATTTAAGGCGGTTGTTCTTCCTGCTGAGAACAAACTGAACCAACTGACTCGCGCCACTTTTCAAAAATGTATTTTTCCTCAAAGAGACAACACCGCCTCAACCAATCACAGGAGGGGGATCCCACAGTCTTATTTGCATGAGTTGCGTGTAAGTACAGTCGCTCACACCCTTCTATATCATTTCGAGATTATCAAGAGGAAGAAATGCCTGAGCCAGCAAAGACCGCCCCTAAGAAGGGCTCCAAGAAGGGTGCAACCAAGGGTGCCAGCAAAGGAGGCAGCAAGAGGAGAAGGCCCAGGAGGGAGAGTTATGCCATCTACGTGTACAAGGTGCTGAAGCAGGTCCATCCTGACACCGGCATCTCGTCCAAGGCCATGGGCATCATGAACTCCTTCGTGAGTGACATCTTTGAGCGTATCGCAGGTGAGGCGTCTCGTCTGGCTCAGTACAACAAGCGTACCACCATCACCTCCAGGGAGATCCAGACCGCTGTGCGCCTCCTGCTCCCCGGGGAGTTGGCCAAGCACGCAGTGTCTGAAGGCACCAAGGCTGTGACCAAGTACACCAGCTCCAAGTAAACGGCTCAACTGTTGAATGGAAACCAACCCAACGGCTCTTTTAAGAGCCACCCACTTCCTCTGGAGAGCAGACAGTTCATTGTATGAACTTCCTTTATACAGGATGATTAATGCTTTACATAACTGTATGTCTGTGAGCTACCCTACATCTGTTACAGACTAATTTGTTGCTAATGTATTACTTTTTATGTAGCTTCAATTCTCTATAGTTGCATTTGAAAAAATAATTGCTCTGTTTTAGTATTTCTCATAATTATCAGACTTTTTCAGTAGTGACATATAAGCAAATTTTGGACCGTACTTTTTGCTTTATTATTTAAAATTAGTCAGTAGAATCAGGTTAATACAATAAAAGGTCAATTAACACATAATGTATGTTAATAAAATATATTTGTATATCACAATAAAACAATAAAACACACAGGAATTGCCTTGTAAAAACATTGGGTAATTAAAAACCAGAAATACAACACAAAAAAAAATTGAAAAACCAATGGGTGAGTTTAAAACGAAAAAAGAGAAGGCGCAATACTTCAGTGCATTGTCTGGAGTAAGATACAGTGTAACCCTCTGTTTAAGAATATCAAATAAACCCTTCAGATAATCCATAAAAATTTAAAAGACAAATTAAAAGAAATAATTGCAAAGCCGTTGCATATAAATAAGTTTTTAGAAGTGATTTAAAAGAGGATACTAGAATAGAAAGCTGGAGTTCCTCAGGCAGTTGAAACCTCTTTCACTTTTACCAGCTGCAACATTCAAGTGTCAAACACATTAATGCATCACTAATTCTATCCATCCATTTTCTCACCGCTTATCCTATTGAGGGTTTCAGGGGGGCTGGAGCCTGTCCCAGCTGACACTGGGCAGGGTACACTCTGGACAGGTCGCCAGACTATCACAGGGCTGGCACATAGAGACAGACAACCATTCACACTCACATTCACACCTACGGACAATTTAGAGTTATCCATTAACCTATCATGGAGAAAACCCACGCTGACATGGGGAGAACATGCAAACTCCACACAGAAGGGCTCCCATACCCAGGATCGAACCAGGAACCCTCTTGCTGTGAGGTGACAGTGCTAACCACCACACCACCATGCCGCCTTCACTAATTCCAATCCAGCAATAAAACATAATTGTTCAATACCTGTACACCTTGACATACTCAGTGGGCATTGTCTTCCAGACATATTCAAACAAGCCTAACTTACCTTCTTAATGTTTTTGTTGTGACGTAGCATTATAACTATTGCTAACTTTAGCCACATAATACTTTTAGTAACGTTTCTTGAGGTATGCTGACACATTTGTATCTGTTACTAACCTGGCTCAGAAAGAAGGCAGGACCTGCCCTCCTCTGCCTTTCTCGGCCTGTGATTGGCTTCTCCAGACATCCTCACTCTAATCTTAACCAATCCTACTCCTCCTTCTCGTTAACGTTGGGAGGGTCATGCCTTCGCCACCCGAGGAAAATGGCACCTAAAGTTTACCGTCTCCTAGCAACAGTTGTCTCCCAGCATGCAACGCAGTGTAACAGATTGCTGGTTTCTATGGTTACGTGTCGCAATTTAGCACCCTAGCGGTTTGACAGAAGCAGACATCTAAGAGCCAAAGCATTGAACTTCCATTAAACCTTATTCCTCAAGTGTGCTCTGGTCGTGATGAACATGGAAGGATATGGTCAAGTTTCAAAGAAAGGAAGAGCTGTCACTTTGTCCCATGTTTTTCTCATGTAAATCAGTTGTCCCCTTCTGGTCCTCTGTATTTGACACACTATCTCAAATGTGTGGACAAGTACTAACCCTAATCCTATATCAGCCATCTTTGGTGTGGTCCCAGAAGAGGTACCCCTCCCAAACTGTCAGGCACAAGCCATGGCCTTTGCCTCACTTCCAGCCCGCAGAATCATCCTCCTGAAGTGGAAAGATAAACTTCCCCCTTTTTATTGTCACTGGGTAAAGGATGTCATGGCACACCTTAAGCTAGAGGAACTCAGGTGCCGCCTCAAAGGATCATCCAAGAAGTACCACAGGGTATGGCAGCCCTTCTTAGACTATTTTCATAACTCCTGTCCCTCAGCTTGTCTCATGAATTAAGCCTTTACATCCCCCCGTTTTTTTTTTGTGTGCATGTGAGGAGAAGAAACCCGTCCTCCTCTACAGAGGGTGGTTATTCTTTTGGGTCTGAGGAACAACTTTCAAGTTTAAAGACTACTGAGCAGGGATCAGATCCTCAGCCACCAGGGCTCAGTAAGGGGTGTCGCCCCATTTGGCAAGTCTGTTATGAAAGGAGTCCAGAGATAAGGCCTTTGTCAAATATGCAATCAAATAGTAAAATAGTGAGTAAATATTCTAATGCAGTGCTTCTCAACCTTTTTGCTTGTGGAACCCCTATTCTATGATGAGTGAACTTTTGACCCCTGACTACCTGACATATTTAATGTATATTTCACATTATATTCAATGTATTACAATAACAAGTCTGACCAACTGATAAACTACAATTGTCCCAAACAGTGAAAACAATAACTGCAGGACGTTCGTGTATGAATTTTCAGCAGACTTTCCTGCAGGCCTAAATATTGCACCAGATATTTTAAATAACAGTAGCAATAATTTTATTTGTGGAGCATTTTTTGAGCTGGAAGCACAGAGTGCTCTTATTTTAGGAACCTTTTAAGCTTCTCTCTCAATGTATTTTTTTTTTCAATGTATTTTTTTCAAACAATCATAGGCTTTTAGTCCCATCTAAAGAAAGTCTTCACTTAATGCCTGCTGTCGGTTATTTAAGGCGGTTGTTCTTCCTGCTGAGAACAAACTGAACCAACTGACTCGCGCCACTTTTCAAAAATGTATTTTTCCTCAAAGAGACAACACCGCCTCAACCAATCACAGGAGGGGGATCCCACAGTCTTATTTGCATGAGTTGCGTGTAAGTACAGTCGCTCACACCCTTCTATATCATTTCGAGATTATCAAGAGGAAGAAATGCCTGAGCCAGCAAAGACCGCCCCTAAGAAGGGCTCCAAGAAGGGTGCAACCAAGGGTGCCAGCAAAGGAGGCAGCAAGAGGAGAAGGCCCAGGAGGGAGAGTTATGCCATCTACGTGTACAAGGTGCTGAAGCAGGTCCATCCTGACACCGGCATCTCGTCCAAGGCCATGGGCATCATGAACTCCTTCGTGAGTGACATCTTTGAGCGTATTGCAGGTGAGGCGTCTCGTCTGGCTCAGTACAACAAGCGTTCCACCATCATCTCCAGGGAGATCCAGACCGCTGTGCGCCTCCTGCTCCCCGGGGAGTTGGCCAAGCACGCAGTGTCTGAAGGCACCAAGGCTGTGACCAAGTACACCAGCTCCAAGTAAACGGCTCAACTGTTGAATGGAAACCAACCCAACGGCTCTTTTAAGAGCCACCCACTTCCTCTGGAGAGCAGACAGTTCATGGTATGAACTTCCTTTATACAGGATGATTAATGCTTTACATAACTGTACATCTGTACTAATTTATTGCTAATGTATTACTTTTTATTTAGCTTCAGTTCTCTATAGTTGCATTTCAAAAAAAATTGCTTTGTTTTAGTATTTCTCAAAGTTGTCAGAATTTTTCAGTGGTGACATACAAGCAAATATTGGACCGTACTTTTTACTTTATTATTTGAAATTAGTCAGTAGAATCAGGTTACTGCAATAAAAGGTCAATTAATACTTAATGTATGTTAATAAAATATATTTGTATATCACAATAAAACAATAAAACACACAGGAATTGCCTTGTAAAAACATTGGGTAATTAAAAACCAGAAATACAACACAAAAAAAAATTGAAAAACCAATGGGTGAGTTTAAAACGAAAAAAGAGAAGGTGCAATACTTAAATGCATTGTCTGGAGTAAGATACAGTGTAACTCACAGGTTTTGAATATCAAATAAACCCTTCAGATAATCCATAAAAATTCAAAAGACAAAGAGCAAGAGTTCCTCAGGCAGGTCATCACTAGTTGAAACCTCTTCCACTTTTACCAGCTGCAACATTCAAGTGTCAAACACATTAATGCATCACTAATTCTATCCATCCATTTTCTCACCGCTTATCCTATTGAGGGTTGCGGGGGGGCTGGAGCCTGTCCCAGCTGACATTGGGCGAGAGACGGGGTACGCTCTGGACAGGTCGCCAGCCTATCGTAGGGCTGATATGTAGAGACAGACAATCATTCACACTCACGTTCACACCTACTGTCAATTTAGAGTCACCAATTAACCTGCATGTCTTTGGACTGTGGGAGGAAGCCAGAGTACCCGGAGAAAACACACGCTGACATGGGGAGAACATGCAAAGTCCACACAGAAGGGCTCCCACAACCAGGATCGAACCTCTTGCTGTGCCATGACATCCTTTACCCAGTGACCATAAGAAGGGGGAAGTTTATCTTTCCACTTCAGGAGGATGATTCTGCGGGCTGGAAGTGAGGCGAAGGCCATGGCTTGTGCCTGACAGTTTGGGAGGGGTACCTCTTCTGGGACCACACCAATGATGGCTGATATAGGGTTGGGGTTAGTACTTGTGCACACATTTGAGATGTTGTGTCAAATACAGAGGACCAGAAGGGGACAACTGATTTACATGAGAAAAACCTTTAGTGCAACATTAGTGTATACAGTTAGAACATGATGCAGTTTAATCACTGTAGCACTGACAACACCACTGTTGTCTTATGCCTTTGGCCAGAATGTTGGTATCATGATAATGAAAAAAGCAACTTGCTCTAAACACAGATTATTTGTCCTACAGCACAGTGACAGCCCCTGTTATAGTTTGCTTCTACACCAACATACTCAAGTGTAAAAATAAAACAAACAGATACATAAAGTCAGTTTATTATCCATCTCATGCACTGCTATGTGGATATACAGCCTGTTGTCATTCAAAAGCCAGTGCTTTGTCATGGCTCCCGATCTGCTGTCTCTATGAGATGCACCTGGCTATCAGTTAACTCCAATGTAAACCCATCTACAGCAATATTTGATGCTCAGACCAACTGATGTAGTACTCTGAACAAAAAAGTCTGTGTAAAGCAGGTGGGAGGGGTGATGTATGGGTCAAACAAACACAGACATTCACCCAGGACACTGCTGTTTGTGTCCCACGTGAAACATATGTACATCTTTATGTCATGTTAATTTTTTATTTTACCCCAAAACATGTTTTTTTCTGAACCTACCAAGTAGATTTGGTACTTGATAATAACTATGACTCTCACCCAGGAGACAGTTGTGCATCACATACAAATGTTAAAGGGTGTGTCTCATGCAGACACCGAAGGGTGCCACTGGACTGGGGCATCACACGCCAAATGTACTAGAATGTATATTTATAATAGTTACCAACAACAGCTTTAAATACAAAAAGTATCTTAACTTTTACAGCAGTGATACAGTGTGTGTGTTTTGAGTTCCACTCCAAGATAAAATAAGGGAGGTATAATGTACTGTGAAACAGTGGATAACACAGACAGATTTAAGCAAAGTTATCTTGTTGGAATAACATCAGCTGGGAAGGGGGGCAGAGGGGTTTCAGATACTGAACATTAAGCTGATGACAATTTAACATTTTGTTCAACTCTCAATAAGAACCCTGGTCACACGCAAATTGTTAATAACACAGTGACAATCTGAGTTTAATAGTCAGATTAATGTAAAGGATAATAACTGTAATTAATGCTGTCAATTATTATCTTTTTTGCGCTAAAATAGGTTTAGAAAACACTATGAAGGAGCAAGTTTAACCCTTTGAAACCTGAGCAAATTGGCTTGATTTCTTTCAAGGACATGGGAAGAAGGCAATGAGCAATGAAAGACAAAATGACCCCAAAATTTAGCAATAAATTAGTAAAAAGAGAAAACTAAAAACAAAAAAATGTTAAAAAACAAAAACAAAAAACATAATTTTAAATTATAATAATAGTAATGATTAAAAATTTAGTTTTCCTGCTTTTTTCTTTTTTTCCCATAGGTTTTTTAAGCCTAATTTTCTAAATTATTTTATCCATTCTTTATTTTTATTTTATTTATTTATTTTGCAATCTGTGGGACATTTCTTACCCTTTTCCCCCATGTTTCTAAAAGGAAACACACCAGTTCACTCAGGGTTCAAAGGTTCAAATACTTGAGGAAGGCATCCGAAAGCAGCACAAGAAAAGTGATGTCGCTCCAGGTTTCAAAGGATTAACTGCTGTGCTGCTTCATAAAGAGCTCAGCGGGTATAGGAGACGTGCTGTCTGATTCATGCTGTACATCAGTAGATGGCGCTAATGCACCAAAGAGTTAATTATCAACCATGTAGCAATCCAAAGAAGAAGGAGCGAGAGCCTGTGTTTTCTATTACGTCCTCAGATAGGCTTTATATAGCCGGGGCTCAAACTGGATACTTCATTCGTTGTTGAAACTTTATACTGAAGACATGAGTGGAAGAGGAAAAGGCGGGAAGGGACTCGGCAAAGGCGGCGCAAAGCGTCATCGCAAAGTCCTCCGTGACAACATCCAGGGAATCACCAAGCCCGCCATCCGCCGTCTGGCTCGCCGTGGTGGAGTGAAGCGTATTTCCGGCCTGATCTACGAGGAGACCCGTGGTGTGTTGAAGGTGTTTCTGGAGAACGTGATCCGTGATGCCGTCACCTACACCGAGCACGCTAAGAGGAAGACTGTAACCGCCATGGACGTGGTTTACGCCCTGAAGAGACAGGGACGCACTCTGTATGGTTTCGGCGGTTAAACGGTCACAAACATCCATTATCAAAATCCAAAGGTCCTTTTAAGGGCCGCCCACATACTCACTGTAAAGAGCTGCTTTCTTTTTATATAATATAGGGAACATTACACATTTAATTTGAACATTTGAGTCTGTGGTGGCCAGTGCTATTCTCTATGCTGTTGTGTGCTGGGGCAGCAGACTGAGGGTGGCGGACTCCAACAGACTCAACAAACTGATCTGCAAGGCCAGTGACGTTGTGGGAACGGGGTGTGACTCTGATGGTGGTGTCAGAGAGGAGGATGCTGTCTAAGCTACGAACTATCTTGAACAATGTCTCACACCCACTCCACCATGTATGTGTGTGTCTATAT